GGAAGATAATAGAGAAGAGAGGAAGATAATAGAGATGGATGGAAGGAAGGAAGGAAGGAATAGAGAAAGGAGGCAGGAAGGAAGATAATAGAGGTGGATGGATGGAAGGAAGATAAAAGAGAAGAATAGAGATGGAAGGAAGGAAGGAATAGAGAACAGAGGGAAGGAGGAAGTTAATAGAGATGGATGGATGGAAGGAAGGGAGGGAGGGATGGAAGGAAGGAAGGGAGGGAGGATTACCTTATGTATATCGGTGTAGGTGGCAGTTGGGCGGCACAGCAGATGGTGTTGCTGGTTCAGGACTTCTGCCAGCTGCATCTGGAAAGCGGCTTTGATGCACTGAATGGCCTCCTTGTTCCGAGGCCACTGACCGCTCCCCTCCATCTGGCAAATCACTGGAATGAGAGAAGGAACATCACCAGGAGAACAAGGATCAACCAAGGAGCCACACAGAAGGACCATCCATCAGCCCCGCTGAAGAAGCAGCGGCACTCCAAGGGCCCAGCCTTCCCTTCCACTTGGTAGACATCTGGGCAGCTGTCTGGAAGGTCAGCACCTCAACACTGGTCAGGGTTACGAGGATTCAGATACGGTCCTTGGGACTGGCAGTTTCGAATGGCCATATTCAGGTTGTCCTCAGGTTACGACTATAACAGAGCTGGCCATCGCAGCAGTAACTCAGCATCATCTTCTTTTAATGACCCCCAGAATCCCTTGTGGGGTGGAGTCTGCGCAACTGAATCGAGCCGAGTGTTTACTGGCTGGATGCCCTTCCTGTTGCCAGTATGGAGTTTTATTCAGCGGATATATTCTCAACGTTATTTCGTTATTAATACAGTTGTTAAATGACAAGTTAATAATCTGGAAATAGAACCAGAAGTTTAAAGGATGTTGGGGCTTGCTTCCCAAGGGGTGGGAAACTAACATCGTTGTAATGTAGTTATCAGTATGAATACTGATAACCGCAGTATTACAACTACAATATATAGAGAGGAGATAAAAGGTGCATACTTTTATCTGTCGTTTACTTTTTTAATGCACATTTTTTGCAATGACTTGTTTTGTTTGCTTTGTTAAAAAAAAATGGAGTTCTGAATTTAACTTTTTTTTAATAAAATAAAAATAAGGGGAAAAAAAGACATTTTATGATGTATTAGTTGCTGTTTATATGTTCATTGTGAACTTATTCGCTGGAGACAAAATCCTTGTTTGTCCAATCACATTTAGCCAAAAAAAAAAATATCTATTCTGTTCTGTTCCATTCTCTTCCATTCCATGTTTTCTCTTCCCTTCTCTTCTCTTCTCTTATTTATTATTCTATTCTATTCTATTCTATTCTATTCTATTCTATTCTATTCTATTCTATTCTA